CGTACCTAACTCAACGAAACAACGGTAGTAGTCGTCTTCCTAGTACTGAACTTAAATTACCTTCTACGCATTAGTGGAGTGAACTAGTATAAGTAATTAGGTACAGCACATATATATATATATATATATATACACACACACACACACACACACACACACATACACTCTTGAGTGGATCCGAACCTGTAAATATAGTGATCATCCTGAGCCACTGGAATCACAACAAGAATGTAAGCAACACTGAAATAGACAAACCTTCTCCTCTACCCGAAGAAGCCCTGAAAGGCAACATCCAAAGTTCGAAATAATGGGATCGTGTATGCCTTACTCAACCAAAGGAAACAGGACTCATCCTGTCTGGAATTATGAACATACATCCTCACTCCCCAACTATGTGAGCAAGGTAGATTCCACTTACCCCCAGAATTATGGGGAAAACACGGAACAACTGTGCTGAACTAAGGACCTAGGATGGGACCACTCCATTTCAGAATTATGAGGAGAAAGTGGACCCTCTTCCATGAACAATGTACTGAATTTATATTGATCAAACAGAAGGGCCATGCACACCCCAACTGGATAGCAGAGCATCTAATCTGAACCAGTTTTACCAGCAGGCTCCTGCATAGGCTGGTGCCACTGATACAGACATCTGGGAAAAACAGGACATGGGTAGGAGGGTCCCCAACTTTGCAATAGTTGAACCGAGTTCCCTAAATTTTTAAAAGCAAACATACCTTGATTTTTTCAATCCAAAGATTGGCAAGGACAGGCAGGAATTCTTTTATGCTTTACTCATGTCAGTCCATGAGTGGCGGTTATCATTGAACAGTAATGCTACCTGGTTAACTCCCAGGTGATCTTATGGAATACTTCATTTTTACGGAGCCTGTTGTAACCTATATAAAATATTTTGACATTTGTGTTTATCAGTGTGGAATTGGCTTGATAAAAGCACACCTGCATGGACAACACTCGCCACAGAGTGGAATCCAATAAAAAAAAAAGTAAGGGACTCTGTAAAGTAAAGATATAATCTAGCTGATATGGTCAAAACAGCCACAGGGGGTAGGCAAAAATCCTCAGAGGAAGAAACTGCCAGATCATGTAAATAATGAGAGATAAAAGTATTGGGAGAAGTCCATATACCAGCCCACACAATGTCCTCCAGTGGGCAATTCACTCAGGCAGCTAAAGACATACAAATGTGACGAATCTGATGAGCGTGACTTACAGAAGGTTCCTCACCTGCAAAGAGAGCCCGGAATAAACCATATGGCTCAATTTGTGAACTCACCTCAGGAAAATAATCAGGGATAAATCCTAACGAATAAAAAGTTGATGCCTATCGCCACGAAAGGAGTTAGTGTGAGCCACATAACACCTCAGAGCCCTGACTGGACATAACAAACAATCAGGATCTGAGTGGTCATAGAGGTGAGAAATAAACAGCAAATGAATTGTTGAGAAGGATTTATCCCCTTCCCTGGCTGCCAGAGTCTTAGGTAGGAAGGAACTATCTGGGTAGAAGGATATAAGTAGAGTGCTAAAGAGTTCT